CAGCCAGGAATGAGCACTCCCTTCTCCATCCCTCTGCCCACCCCTTTGCTCCGATGCAGAGCCCTTGGGATCCAGCATCCCCCTGCACTGCTGCAGCACAAATCCCTCTGCTCCCCCCACCCCAGAGCTTCACCCCAGCAAGGAAAAGCAGGAAAAACAGGAAAAGCAGGAAAAGCACAGCTTGCTCTTGCTGGTGAAAAAGGGAGATGGCACAAAAAGGCCACCCCTGATCACATCCCTCTGGTCTGGGGCTGTGAGCTGTGAACATCCCTTCAGGTCTGGGACACAGAGAGGAGGCTGGGGGCTGAGGGATGGCAACTCTCTGCCCAATTACAAAGTAATTAAGAGAGCCACAAAGAAAGCTTTGCATATGGACTTACAATTACTACACCACAGTCCTGCCAGAAAAACACAAAAGAGGATCTTGGGCAGCCCGGAGGATGCATATGGCTTGTGTAGGTGGAGAGACCTAAGAGACTGTTACTTTGGGTAGGAAGTGGATTTTCCCTCTCCTATAATCTTGTTAAATTACCTTGCTTTTAAATCAGTGATTTATATCTCCTTCTTCAAATCCAGAGGGAAAAAAAAAAAAACCCAAACCCTCTCTAAACAACCTGTGTGTGACAAGCAATACATTTTCACTTTCATTTACCTTCACACTGCAAAGTTCACTTAGCGAACCAGAAGTGTTAAAGGAAAATACTGGGAAGGACTGGTTAAAAAGAAAACCTTGGCTGAAGCGAGATGGAAAACAGATTTCCCGGGTTAGGTAAGTATCAGAAAATAATACATAATGTTAGACATCCTAAAAGGGAAGTAGGAAAATATTTAGGAATGTGCATAGCCATTTGCAGCCTACAAAAAGCACAAAAAAGCAGTTTCATTAGGAAAGGACACTCACTGCAAACAGTGCCAGGAGGTGCCACACTCCAGGACCATCCTGGGAAATGGCCATACCCTGTGCCCAGCACTGGTTTTCTGGGAGTGCCTGTGTGTAGCTGGCTGAGGATTCCCAGATTTTTGTTTCCCTTTGGGTTTCAGGGAGCCTCCCTCCCTCCTCAACTAACCAGTTTGCATCTGTGTGGGTCCTACAGCTTCCAGGGGGAATCATCTCTTAGCAACACTGACAAAAATAAAATCAAGTAAGACCCGGCACAGACCTGGAAGCAAGGCCACGCTGCAGCCCACCTGCTCCAAGTCTGCCCGTGAACATCTCCTCCACCTGCAGCTTGGTGGGAGCCCCTGGTGCTGCCACGAGCACCAAGCCTTCGGGATCCAAAACCCAGGGATGCCTTCAGCCCCTCTGAGTCCCTACTCTTCCTCAGCAGGGACAACAGCCCAGCCCCAGGAACGTTCCCAGCCCCAGGAACATTCCCAGCTCCAGGAACAATCCCAGCCCCAGGAACAATCCCAGCTCCAGGAACGTTCCCAGCCCCAGGAACATTCCCAGCCCCAGGAACATTCCCAGCCCCAGGAGTATTCCCAGACCCAGGAGTATTCGCAGTCCCAGGAGCATTCCCAGCCCCAGGAGCATTCCCAGCGCCAGGAGCATTCCCAGCCCCAGGAGCATTCCCAGCCCCAGGAGCATTCCCAGCCCCAGGAACATTCCCAGCCCCAAGAACATTCCCAGCCACAGGAGCATTCCCAGCCACAGGAGCATTCCCAGCTCCAGGAGCATTCCCATCCCCAGGAACATTCCAAGCTCCAGGAACAATCCCAGTCCCAGGAACAATCCCATCCCCAGGAACGTTCCCAGCCCAGCCTGGCCCTGAGCAAGAGGGGAACTCAAAGCAGCCCTTTCAATTCCTGGGTGAGGTGGCTGGAAATCACCAGGCTCCCAGTTCCCATGGGAAGACACCAGGATCCTCCTGAACACTGCCACATCCTTTAACAGCAGTGCTATTATGGGATGCTGAGCCAGCAGCCATGGGGCTGGTGAGCCCCTGGTGCTCCTTCCCCACCAGGCACTGCCAGCCTGGCACGGCACAGGATGGACTTTGTGCCTGTCCCCACTGCCCACAGCGTGTTGGGAAAGGAAATCCCCCCACGTGGCCTGGAGCACCGTGAGGGGAATAAAGCCATCTGTTCATCGAGGCAGGCCAGCTCCAAACCAATTAATGTAAAGAGCCTGCATTAAGGGGTCTCTCCTTGATGCAAATCCCCTCTTGTAAACAAACCTTACAGGCCCTAGCCCCAGTCTGTGAGGCAGGTTCCGATCTGATTAGTTACTCCACATGCCTTAGATTTCCCCTTACAGCTACCAGTGAATTAAACTATCTTTTTGCTGAGATATATTAAACACTTACTGATTTTCACCTTGAGGTGCCCTTTACCGTGGTAATTAGTGAAACTGGGACCTCTCTGGGTGAAAAACAAGCAATTTAACTTGTTTTTTTGGCAGCAGTTGTCCTCCAGACCACCACCCACAGAGCACAGCACCAGACCTCCAGCACAGTCCAGCACACACTGATTTTCATCTCCCATATTTGCACCACTCCAGACCACTTTGGGTGCCTGCCTGGAGCAGAGCACAGAGTGCAAGGTGTGCAGTTCAGTATATCAAAACCAGGAGAATGAATTAATGAGAAGGGAGTTCAGCAGCAGCTTTGTGCCATTCTCTGAGCAGCAACCCTGGAAAGCATCCGTGGGAAAAGCACTCAGTGCAGGTGAGCTCACCTGGGCAGGACAAGGGCTGAGAATTCCTGTGTGGATTCTGGAAAAGCAGTGGGACAAGAAAACACTCCCCCTGTGGAGGAAATGCATTTGTTAGCTGATGGTTTAAACATGGGAGCAGCAAACTGGAGCCACAGGCTGCTCCTGCACAGCTCAAGAAGCCCCAAGGAAACTCCACAGTTCTGAGCCTGAGCATTCCCACCCTCCACCAACACCCACTTTGTTTTCTCAGATAATTAACTTGTCTTCTCAGTCTCTCCATTCATTTCTTGAAAGCTCCCCAAATTGTAACACAGCCTGGAAAAGCATAATGTGCATCCCAGTGCTGTCCAGCTCCATCCCTGCCCCACTCTGCTCCTCTCAGCAGGGCTGTGGTTCCAGCTCACCTCAGCCCAGCATTACCAAGGGTTTGATCCTGAGCTGAAACCAGCCTGATTTCTTTTCCTTGCTTTGTACATCACTTTTTTCTTCTATTCTGTTTAAAAACAGACATGAAACTGATAAAATTATGAGAGCCAAGTGAATATTAAGCACTTTATACCTCACTGATTTGCGTTTCTTCCCTGCCAAACAGAGTCTGTAGATGTTACCTGTGATGTTCACACAGAGGCTTTGCTTCTCTTGTCTTGCTTCAAGTCAGATCCCACAGTCTTCACTCAGGAGAAGTCCCTTTCCCCCAGCAGTAATGGAAATTTCCTAAATATGGATACAATGATGGTCCTGCAGTAGAAGACAGCAAGAGAAGAGGGAGATGCATTTCGTGAAAGTAAAAAAAAAGGATTTTCATAGAAGGTGAGCTATGCTGTGAGACCAAGGACTTCCAGGCAGTTCAGAACAAACATCTCCCCCTTGGCCTGAAGGACCAGAATGGCAACTTTTGGTCTTACAAAGAAATGAATGAAAAAGTGAAATTGTGGGTGCCCTGTGCCTGTGTGTGGGACTGAAGCCACCCAGAGCTGCTGGGCTGCCCTGAATCCAGTGCAGGTAAACAGGAAATCTGACAGCCAGAGAAGAGTCAGTGCTGGGAGAATTTGTGATTTTGGCATTGAAAGTGTTACAGAAAACTTGCCATAAAGTTCCTCTGAGGCTTTAATTTCCCTCCCCCAAATCTTCCTTTGATTTTGATCCCCTCCTTTCCTCGTGTCCTTTGAACTCTTAAAAAGGCACTTTGAAGAGATGTCATAAAGTGGGGGCTTTATTCAGGATCTCCTCTTTGATGCTCCTGCTCCGTGTGTGAAGTGCGGCCCCGCAGGATGTGGAGCCAGAGGAGCTGAAAGCCGAGACAGAAAGGAAAGGGCACAGCAGTAAAAGTGTGGATGTGGTGTTTGGGAACAGCGCCTGGAGCAGGGCACAGCCCCAGGGTGGATCCTGGGCTGCAGGGACCTGCTGTGGCTACAGCCAGGGTGCCCTGCCAGGGGGAGCGATGGGGATGGAGGAGAGGGGCAGCAGGATGGGAATCCTTCATCCCAACCCTTCATCCTGCTCTCACCTCAAGGTTACAGCTGTGTGACAATGCCCATGCCTGGGTGACATCCCTGTGGAAGAGCTGTCAGTCACCTGGAGCATCTCTGGCAGCCCCCAGGGCTCAGCCCAGCCCAGCAGCTCCAGGAGTCGGTGCTGCCATCCCCCTGCAGCCCTTCCCACCTCCAGCTCTCCCAGCCACAAAAGGTCCTGCTGTCCAGGACAGAAAGCAGTATTAAATAATCAAAGATTTAAATCATGCTATTAAATAATCAAAAATGTGAATAGTCCTGTGCACACAGACCACCAAGAACAGCCCTGAGGCTGGTGGCACTGCCCAGGCAGGAGGATGGAGGTGCAGAGCTCAGCTCCAGCTCTTCAGACCCTTCAGAGAGCACACTCCAAGCCCCCTTTCCACACTGGGGTGTCTGGAAAGCTCAGAATCAGTAAGCTCAGAGAGTCTAGAGAGCTCACAGGATCATCAAGGCTGGAAAAGCCCTCTCAGAACATCGAGTCCAACCCTGCTGCAGCCCAGGCTTAGGCCGGTGACTCTTTTCCCCTCCTGAGCTTCTTCCCCTCCTTCCTTCTTCTGCCATGGGACATTTCACAGTGAAGCTGCTTGTGCAGCACAAGCACTGGCTGGAGCCCCTCAACTTTGTTTAACCTTTGCATAGGGAATTGCATTAACTCATCCAAGGGAACCTCTCAGCCAGGGAGAAACAGATGTTCAGGCCTTAGATAAGCTACGAGCAAGTTCACGGTGTTTCTCAGCAGGGACGTGGGGTTGAGTTTGGGTTTGTTATTTTTATTGGGTGACCAGTGGTAGGAATTATTCAGAAATAAGTGAAAAATATCCTGAAAGCTCTTGAAGGGCTTCTGAAAGGATCTTTTCCTCAGTTGCTCATTCTTACCTGCAATACCAATTTTTTTTTTTTTTTTTTTTTGGAATTACAGCCAAGTATCTGCTTCCAAGACTGAATGCAGATGCAGCTAGAACAGGAAATTGTAACTTGCTTCCAACCTGGAAATTTTGCACTTTAAACTTGAGATAAGGAGAGAACTTTGTTTTAAAGACACATGTCCCCTTACAAAAGACAATTGTATTTCCAGAGGGGCCACCCCACAGCCCTCCTGAGAAACCAGCGCTGCAGAAAATGGCAAGATCTAAAGAACTAAGTAACCCTAACGTGCAGGGACACCTTCCACTAGCCCAGGCTACTCCAGCCTGGCCTTGGGCACTGCCAGGGATGGGGTAGCCACGGCTTCTCTGGGCAACCTGTGCCACCCAGGCAAAGCCACAGCTGCACTGGCATTGCCCAGAAGTTCTTACAGAGGACAAGGGAGACCTGACAAAGCAACCATGGCTTTTCTTGGGGCAGCCAAGGAGCCCTGGGAAGAACCACGGCAGCCTGGCTCCTCCTGCAGCTGCTGCCTTCACACAACCAGCCTTGAGGAAAGCAAGCAAAGAGAAAAAAATGAGGCAGCGAATGAAAAACGAGCATTTTGCGACGGGCATTTTGTGTTACTGACCTGTGGCAGATGTTTTAAAGGCACAATCAAACATCTAAAGCTGCAAATGTAAAAGTTTGCACTGGGGAGAAACCCAGCACCCAGCTACCCAAACATCAGCTCAGAGCCTGAATTTCCATCTCCTTAAGCTCTCCCCCTCACCCAGGGCATCTCCCCAGGAGCTTTCCCAAGAGGAGGGCAGGAGCAGAGAGCTGCCCTGCCACGGCCAAACCCACTCTGCAGCAAAGTAGGTCAAACTGCAACGCTTTGCTCTCGGCTGAAGGTCACCACTGTCTCCCCAGCCTGCTCTGGGCAAAGTGTATTTACATTGAGGAGATGTGGAGAGGTTGTGGAGCTGGAAGTGGTTAGAGGAAAAACAGGCTGTTAAAGAGAGCAGGAGCATGAGCCTGCATCCGAAATGCTGAACGCTGAGGGAGGAAAGAATGAGGAATCCCAAATAACAGACATTTCCCTCAAAGGGCAGGAGTGTTAGAACTGCCTTCCCCGCTCCTGGGCAAGCACTGGGAGGTGTTCCTGTACAAACTACAGCACTGATGAGAGGACTTGGGTAACATTTGCAGAGGGCTTTGACATGGAAAGTCCAAATTTCCCTTTACAGAGGCAAAGTCTGACAAAAGCATAATGGAAAGAGGCTTCTGACGGACAAAAATTGACTCCCTGGCACACACACAAGCCCACGCAAACTTTCCAGCCTGCCCTCCAAGTGTGAGCACTGGTGTTTCCATTAAGTGCCTGAAAGCTCAGAAAGCTTCTGGAGAAAAGGTAAACTCATGATTAGACTGAGCACGACTTTTTCCTTGGATTTCTGCAGAATTTTTACACGTGGTTTTGCAACGGGAGCAGGGATTACCTGGGGGCATTTGTGGGTGTCTCTTCTGACTGCCCTGCAGGAGGAACACAGATGTAGCCATTTTAGGGTATTTGTCTGAAATCACTGTTGGGGACATCTGTCAGAGGAGACTTCATATAGAAACAAAATCACGGAAGAAATCACAGAATTATTCAGGTTGGAAAAGCCCTCTAAGATCATTGAGTCCAACTCTTCCCCAGTACTGCCAATGCCACCTCTAACCCAGGTCCCCAAGTGCCACATCCACACAGCTCTTAAATCCCTCTGGGGATGGGGACTCCACTCTTCTTTCAGGGAAGACATTTTCCCCAAAATCCAACCTAAATCTCCTCTGGTGCAACTTGAGGCCATTTCTTTTTGTCCTGTCACCTGTTCTTGGGAGAGGGCACGATCCCCACCTGGCTACAACCTCCTACACAAAACAGCCCCGGATCTGAAGGCACACTGGACTTTGGGAAAGCCCAACCCTACAGCGGGCTGCCTCCTGTGCCCTGCTCTCTCCAGCACCACCCCACCACCCCGGGGGACTCCTGGAAGCCGCAGGCAGGGCACACGTGTTGAGGAGGTTCCATCATTCTCACCATCTACAGGCCATCTCCTCTGCCCCTGTGGAAGCCACAGCACTGCCTGCACAGGAGAGTTATGTTAGAACACTAATTACTGTATTTTGGCTGTCTCCTAATGAACCTCAGCAGCTGGAAGCAGGCACGGTGCCAGCGCCACGTGAGCGCCCCGCTCTCCCTTGGCCTGGCTTCAGGAATCCCTGCTGAAGCATCCAGTTGTCCTGCACGACTCTTTTTCCCCCCAAACTGAACCAAGCAATGTCTGGCTGCCATTTATCATGGAGGGAGGGGGGGGAAACGTGCCTGGAAAAGCTGTTGTGCATCTCCCAGTGTATTCTCAGCCCGCTCCCATGCAGCCATACCCAGGATTCCACTCCTCCATTTATCTTCCCGTGAGCAGAACGGCTGGAAGCGGATGAGTGCCTGCCATGGAGAGCAGTTTTGAGTGAGGTTATTGCATTCTTGACTTAAGCCCATTTTTCTGGTTTCCATGCAAACCTCAATGAATTTTAAAAGGGAGCATTCAGCCCAGACCTTCCGATTCAGACAAAATACAGTATCTCTCTATATGGGGCTTATACTCCTGCTTGGCAGAGGGGGAATCCATTGGATTTCTTCTCCTCTCACCATTGCAACCCCTGACTGCCCCACACATCCCTGTTACCTCCATTGGTTGCTGCACCATTCCCACAACTCCAGGCAGGAATACCGACTCTAAAAGCACAGGAATATAAACGCTTGCACCCCATACATGCACACCCACACACGTACAGGTGTGTGCCGGCACCGAGCACGGCAGGAATGTAAATATGTTTTACTCCTAATTCTGGAAAGTACTTTGGCAGGAGGCAGCCGGGGACACAAAGAGCTACTATTGAGGTTCCTCAGGCTGTGGCCTCCATTCAGCACACAATTGACAATATTTAGACAGCATGGGCTGGTTCCTTCCTTCGCAAGGTAACTTCCTCGTCTGGCAGCCCCGGCAGGCTGTAAATGACCTTGTGTTTGAGGACAGTGTCAAATCAAATAAGTGGTCAAAGGCGAGCGGCGCCTGCTCGCTGCTGCTCCTCCACCTCCATTCCCTGCTCCCTCCTCTCCACCCGCAGCCCTGGGGCTGAGCAGAGCTGGCAGGAGATGCTCCCGTGCTGCCCAGCAGGGAGGCAGCAGCCAGGCAGCACCGGGAGATCCTGCAGGGATAAAAACCATGGCATGCAAATAGAGAATTACTTATTAATCCCAAAGGAATCTCATCTGGGGGTTTGTCTCGTTCATCTTTCCCCTCCCAATTTCAGACTTCCCCAGGAAAACTCTGCCCTCTAAGATGCTCAAAGGTTTGCTGGTTTTCCACGGGGCAGCTTCGCTCCCAAACCCTTCCTCGCTGTCCATGCCCTGTTCCAGGCTGGGTCCCGTAACACACAGGGACAGACCACAAGGCACATTGACTTCTGCAAGTCTGGCTCTAAAACCAAATAAAAAGCTTTTCATTGTCACTCAAGTGTAGGTGCAGCAAGTCAAAAGCCTTATTTTCATGTTTTACAACGCTCCCACCTGAATAAATTCATTTTAAGTGCCACTTTTCCAGTTGTGGATTATGAAAGGTTGGGAGGTCTGGATGCCATCACCAGGAACCAAAAGGCAATATATTACCCACTGTGGGAGCCTGTCAGTGCTGCTGTACCCCAAGCCATGGGCACTGCAGAGCCTTGCCAAGAACTGCCCCTGGTGACTCCAGGCATGAGCAGAGCCCTGCCTCAGACACACGGACAGACACACGGACACGTGGACACACAGACAGACACATGGACAGCAGCATGTCTGCTCCTTGCAGAGTGGGACAGGCACACAGCGGCCATAAAGCAATGGTGGGACTTGAATGTGACATGGCTCAGTGGAAAAAAAATCCCTAATATAAAATATTTCCTAGTCCGCCCACCTTCCTGCTCCCGGTTGGAGCAGAACGGCTCCATTGTGCTCTGGGGTTTGCTGAAGGCAGAGCCTGCACAGGGAAAGGAGGGGCTGCACATCCCTCAGTATGAACACACCCCCAAACTCAACTTGCAAACACCCAGCTTGGACCCAGGGCTAGCCCATTTCCAGCTATAATGCACAGCATCACCTTAAATTACAAATCACATGTACCTGTGGGTGTGACTGCAAGTGCCCGAGGCAGATTTGGCACACCAACAGCTGAAGGAGAAATCCGAAGAAATAAAGTGTGATGGGATTGTTGGCTTTGCATGTATTTAATTTTCCAGCCATTTTTAATCATATGGAGCCACAGCTTAGGGGTGTTGGAGCATCACTGCTGCCAGCCCAGAGGACAGAGGTGCTTTGTCTGCCCAACCACCAGATCTGAAGCTCTGTCCACAGTGGGAACATGCACCATCCTGTCAAACTCACAAAGCATCAGCAGGCTCAGCACCTGCCAGGAGGAAGGCTCACCAGGTTAAAAGCCAGACCAGAAGCAAGAGGTGCTCCCTGGTTTCTCCCCCTCAGCACACAGAAGGTTTCCCAAAAACCAGGGAAGGTCGGAGCTGCGTCCACCCGTGCAAGGAAACTCCTCTGGCAAAGCGAGCGGGGCTTGGCCGAGGAGCTGCAGCACCACTCCTCACACACAGCCCTCCACAGCAGTGCAGGGACAGGAGCACTAGGTGGCAAAAAAAGCCAACAGGTCCTTATTAGTCACAATCTGGAAATGAGCATTAATGTCTCTATAAAATTTCAGGGTGTTTAAAACCAGCCATGATGGGGTTCAGCCCAGAACCAACTTGTTTTGTTGTTCCTAGTGAAGGATGGAAGGGAGGGCTCACAATCAGACAAAGAAAAGGGGGAGAAAGGGGTTAAACCCCAAATTGTTACTGAATAAATAGTACCGAAGTAGAAAAAACATTTTGCTGGATTTCTGAGCACCATTTCCTTCCTGGCAATGACCGTGTAATAAAGCATCAAAATAAACAGTAATCAAAAAAATAAATGTCTGGAATTGGTCTGTATTCCAGATGAGAAACATCTGCAAGGGTAGATCAGCAGATCTTTTCTCTTTTTCTTGGGCAATTAGTTGGACAATTCTGCTCTCTTATAAGTAAAATTATTCTCCCAGCCTCTTCTATCACCTCATAAATTAAATCAGTATTTTTGCAAAGGAAGGTAAAATCAATAAATACCTCCAGATAAATAAGAGCAAACATCTCCCCTAGACACAGCTGAGCCATTCTCCTTGGGACTGTTCCCTGTGCAGCTCTCCTCATTTCCAACTGCACTTTCTCAAAAGGATGTGGGGGAGAACCAACCCTGGAATGTTTTAAAATTTAAAAATAAGGTGGCAATTTTTCCTGTGCAGAAATGAACATGAGATAAGGCTGGAGTAGACCAATGTATTGCCTGTGTGACTTGTTACAGACCACAAACAAGGACAGAACCATTCATTTTGGAACCACCACTGCCAATTATGAAAGCATTGTGCTTGCCATACACATTGATTAGAAAAGCTGTTTATTTGAACTAATAAAGCAGTAAATGAGCTGAAATTGTCTTTTCTTTATTTTTAATATGATAAATGGAATAAACTATGGGTACATCTGTTCCAAGATTCTTCTCCACAACATGTTATGTCTGAAAAGCCTGAAAAATGTTCTTTTCTATTCCAACATTTCAAAGTAATGATTTTCTGCAAAGCATCACCTACAAAACATCCATCAGGCTTACACAGTTTAATCCTCATTCTGCATTTAGTTCCCTTTCGGAGCCAAACCACATTACATGGGGAGGAGAAAAGAGGCATTAGCCTCCAGATAAATCATGGCCATCTCTGGCTCAGCACCCCAGGGTGCAGCTCTCCGAGGTGCCACAGGATCATGGAACCTTCAGGTTGGGAAAGGCCTCCAAGATAAAGTGCAACCATTAAGCCACCACTAAACTTGGGGACTAAAGTCCCCAGGTGCCACTTCTACAACTGTGCCACTTTCAGACAAATCTGTAGCACAACAATAGGACACATGCTCTATTTTAGCCACAAAATTATTTTCCCCTCTCCCATTTCCTCTGTTTTTTAAACCTTGCTGTTTAGGTCTCCGAGCCTCTCCCAGCAGGATAAACCCCGGGTCATCTTGAGCAGGAAAATGCACACAGACCTCTCAGATTTTAAAAACATTTCCACCAAATTGCAAGAAAATTCCCTGCAGCATCTGTGCAGCACTGCAGCAGGTCCTGCTCCCCTGAGACATCACACCATTATTCCATAGAGTGAATGCTGAACCTTTTTTTGCCCAGGCACTGTGGTGACACAGCACATCAAGGTAAATCCATAATCCAGTTTTGGGATCTCCCATTCCAGCTGGAGATGCTGGGAATGCAGACCTGCTCCCTGCACTGCCTCAGAATGGGAGCTTAGTAAAATAGTAAATAGAGAAAAAAAGTGTCACCAGATAATGAACACCTTATTTTAGGCTGTGGTTAAGTAATTTGCTTTTCTGAGAGGGGAGTTGTTTTATTGTATTTAGTGGGGGTTTAAGGGCAGCCATGGTGAAGTTTCTACATAAAGGAAAAGCAAACAGCTGAAGAGTCCTCCCTGGGCTTTGATCCTCCCTGCAGTGAGTAAACCATGAAGTGATTGTTAAATCCTAATCCGATTTAAAACTGCTTTTGAATGCTTTAGGGGAGGAAGTGCTGGCTCTCACCGTCCTTTCCAGCCCAGGGGTTTAAAGCTGTGTCACTCTGCCTGTGCAAAGCCAGGATCCCCCTCCCTGGCAGCTGCTGCAGCCCAAAACACCCACCTTGAGATAAACACAGCCCGTGGAGCAGGGAGCAGAACACAGCCCATGGAACAGGGTGAAGGGGAACAGGGTGCAGAACATAGCCTGTGGAATAGGGTGCAGAACACAGCCCGTGGAGCAGGGTGCAGGGGAACACAGCTCATGGAACAGGGTGCAGGTACACAGCTCATGGAATATGGATATCCCCATGAACAACTCCATGTTCCAGAGCCACCAAGGAGTTCCCATGCTGGGCAAAGCCTGCCTTTGATGTGACAGACCCTGCTGACAGCACAACCCAACCCAACACCAGCAAACTTCCCTGACTCTCCTGAGGAGCACTTCTGGGTTGTGGATCCAGAGGAGTACTTCCCTTAATCTCTGTTGAACTTAACACATAAAAATATTTATATTTTTTCTTCCAGAAATGCCATTCAAAAGGAATCAGGATCAAGCATCCTGCAAAATGTAATACAACAATTGCCAACCAAATTGCATCTTTCCTGTGTGAGTCTCCCATGACACGTGACATGCTGGCAGATGAGTTTTGTGCCACCTATTGTTTATTCCATACCTTATTTTTCTGTGGACCCCTCTGGTTTGTCATTGAGATTGTCTAGACCTGTAGCCCAATGACACCATGGTTACAGAGTTAGAGAGGTGTAGGACCCT